GGAAGAAACGTTCTTCTGAGTTCAATTCCAAGTGGGGGAAACCTGGAGGCTGCTTGGAAAGATGGTTTAAAGGTGGACAGGACCACATGGCTTGAGGTCCTGGGGGAAAGGGGGATCACGTGCTTCCAGATGTTGGGTGAAGAAGAAAAGAGGCAGAGATGCTGAAAGTCGCTGGTTTTATGCCCTCTTTGGCCTTTGATCTTGATCCTGTATTCTGATTGGTTGTCGGACTCCCATGGGGCCATGCAGGGGCAACTCTCTAGGATTTCTTTTGAGTCCACATTTGGTTGAACATGGCTTCTTCCCAGGTGCCCTGTGGTGAGATGGGCAAAGGCATAATACTACCATGCCTTAATCCCATCACCCTGGAGCGGAAGGGGGAGATCTTTGTTATGTAGAATAGACTGGCCCAGGCCTTTGAATGGCCCATTGACAAAGGTGGCAGCTCTTAAGAGTGAGTCTGTTTCCTACCTAAAAACACCTTTCTCCATTTCTGATCCAGGGAAATATAACATTCTGCCTTTTCAATATGGGTGCTACTTACCACCCATAAAGCCCTCCATGGTAGTGGATCTGAGTACTTGAGAGACCGCCTCCTGCCAATTACCTCCCTACGACCTATTAGATCACATAGATTAGGCCTCCTCCGAGTTCCATCCGCCAGTCAGTGTCGACTGGCAACTACGCGGAGGAGAGCCTTTTCAGTAGTAGCTCCGACCCTTTGGAACGATCTCCCCGTGGAGATTCACACCCTCACCACCGTCCAGACCTTCCGCACAGCCCTCAAGACCTGGCTATCCCGTCAGGCCTGGGGATAAAGATTGTAATCCGTCCCCACCCGAATGATGAATGAATGTTGTGTTCTATTTTACTTATGTGTTGTTTTATGTCTTACTGTTTTGTATTCCCCTCCCCATAAATTGTAAGCCGCCCTGAGTCCCCTCAGGGAAAAGGGCGGCCTATAAATAATAAACCATAACCATAACCATAACCATAATATTTCCCAGGATATTTCATTCTTCTCAGAGAGGGGGTGGGGGTGCCAACTTCCAAAGTACATCCTGCAAAAGAAAAGAAAAAAGTTTTCGCTGCCCGATCAACCTTCGAGAGAGCTCCGTGTGTCAGTTTAATAATACAAGTTCTGGAGCTCCTGGCCAAATGATTTCAGTTTCCATCCCACCTTCCAGAAGAAGGGGCCTGGAGGAGGCAGCTTGCTGTTAAGTATTTCCATGTTGAGGGCAGGCGGCTTTGCCTCCGAGACGGATGTGGCTTCGGAAGGTGCCAGGAGCCAGCCAGCTTCCATCGTTGGACGTAGGGAATATATAGACCTCCAGGACACGGAGGAACGTTGCTGACGGAATGTAAGTTCTCCAGATCTCCATCTTCCTCCTGGGACGACTTAATCCATCCTGACTGGAGAGTTAGGAAGGCAGCGGCGAGTAAGGTAAATGTGGTGGCTTCAGGGTACGAAACGCAAGTGTGTTATGGCCCATCAGATGAGAGACGTTTTGGGGAGATATGAAAACAGATGTCATGTTTCATACCATGCCTCTGTCGGCTCCTCTTTGCTTATCCCTTGAGGGAAGGCAATAATATGCAAACGAGAACTGCCTCAGCTCTGTTATGCAGATCGAAATCCAAGGGTTGACATCAAGTTGGGTTGATGTTGTTTTTATTCACTTTATTTTGACTAATTCACGGGCTTCTCCACTTGGGCCCTGGAGTGGAGCTAGGCGACAAATTCTTTTCTTGTGTGACGATTCTGTTTTCACAAGGAACCTCTGAAATCATTAAACTGCTCAACTTTCTTTGACAGCTTCAACCACAACAATTGCAACGTGGGTATTATAATGGAAAGTACAGGAATGAAGGATTGTTCAGCTGGGAAAGCTGGTTCAATTGGGGAAATGCGACCATCCTGTTGTTGTTGTTAGTTGCCAAGTCTTGTCCGACCCATCGCGACCCCATAGACAACGTCCCTCCAGGCCTTCCTGTCCTCTACCATCCTCTGGAGTCCATTTAAGCACAAACCGGCTGCTTCAGTGACTCCATCCAGCCCCCTCCTTCTCTGCCATCCCCTTCTTCTTCTTTTGCCCTCCATCGTTCCCAGCATGNTTTTGTATTCCCCTCCCCATAAATTGTAAGCCGCCCTGAGTCCCCTCAGGGAAAAGGGCGGCCTATAAATAATAAACCATAAACCATAAACCATTTGTGGGACAGATATTACATTGGTTGCACTTGATCTCTGGTGAAAGCAAGATAGGGGTAGTACACCCATCCTTGATTTATCAGCGGCCTTTGATACCATCAATCATAATATGCATTTAGGCTGCTACAGTGTATAGGGCTGGGCAGTGCAGTCTTGCACTGATGTGTTCCTTTCTCCAAAGCCAGTCCCAATCAATGTTGATAGATATTGTAAGATCAGCTCACAGCCATTCCTTTGTGGCATGCCATAGGGCTTGGTACTCTCTCCACTCCTTTTTGACATGTACAGCTGAGTGAGATCATGGAGTTTCAAGATCTGGTCCTACTACAGAAAGAACTAATGCACAACTTGGGGTTTCTCATAGACTCACAACTCCTTCTTGAAGAGCAGGTGGCAGTTGTGACAAGGAGAAACCTTTCCTGCATCAAGAATCTCTGCACTCAGTCATTCAAGCCCTGGCCATCTGATGGTAATACATTCTACATGGGGCTGCCTATGAAAAATATTCATAAACTACAACTAGTACAGAATATGGCGGCAGAGGCAGTTCTTCGGGCCCCTAGGTTGGCCCAAGGTACAGCTATCTGACTTGTTTTGCAAGGCCCATGAACTTAAGAACTTCTTAACAACTTCTAGGCAGCAAAAGAGGCTGAAACTGAGAATATTTCTCAAAGAAAGAGCTTGTTAGAGTGGCTTCAGACCCAGAAATGTTGAAAGAGAAATGAGTAATTTGGCATAACATGATGTTCAAAGAAAAAATATTCCTCCAGGCATAGCAATGCACTGCATAGTAACGTTGTTAATCTCAGACACAGTGTATGTACAAATGGCACTTAACCCCAGACCTTTGTGCTCATAGTTTTATACAACTTGAACTATAAGGGCAGAACTAATGTTGCACTAGATATATGTGGGCAATTGGTTCAAGATACTGTCTTTAATGAAACGTTGACATGGGAAGCTGCCTTTTTCAGAAAATTAAACTCAAAGGAGATAACTGTGGTTTAAACCCTACCATTCCAGCCATTTTCCATAGTTTCCTTCAGCTCATTTTCTTTATTTTAAAAACAAAATATACTGAATTATTCAGTTATACATTAAAATATTGTCCTGTTTGTTTAGCAGAGATGGAGTAAACAATTCAGCTAATTATGGAAGATGACGCCAGTACAGTGTACAACAGTGATGTGGATTATCTGTTTAAGAAATTTCCCAATGAACAAAAAGTCAGAAATGTTTATGGAGTTAGTGACAGTTTTCCCATTGTGCTCTGAATTGTATCAAGCCCAGATTGGCATATCATAAGGATTTTAACAGCTCAAGCCTTGTAGAGGCAGAACATAATCATTATAATGTTATCACAAATAGAAGCAGATACACAGATAGAAGTTGGCTCCCTGTATCTGCAAGTAATCTAAACTGAAAGGATAGCTAGTAAAACCAGCTACTAAGACTGGTTTAAATTTTAGCAAGTACCATAATTAGGCTGAAGACAAAAGCAGAGGTGGCATTTTATAAGTGAAATTAATTTAAAGGTTAATTTCCTTGGGTGCTAAATCTTATTTAAAACATTTACCAGAAAAGAAAATTAGGATGTTACTTTCAAGATGCATGGAGTGCATTTGGGAATCCATTCCTATTATCAGTAAAAAATTAGGTTAGGCTCAAGATGGGAATTTCAATTCATTTTAGTGGATTATAAATGGCTTCGAGTGGAAGGATTTTGCATTTCTTTTGTTTGAAGTTATTAATTGCAACTATTTTGAACAAAAGGTCTGCATTTATATGTGAACAAGAACAACATGAAAGAAAATTGGCTATGGATTGCTGCCTTCCCAAGTAATGAAGCTTATGTTAAGGAAACTGCTAAGACAATAATTGTGTAATGAAAAACAATTAATAAATGGAATTGCATTCTAAAAGTGGTGCTGTTGATGGGCTTCCTATATATTAATTTATCTTCTCCTCTTTCCACAACATTTATCTGCCCCCCCCCCTTTTCTGAACAATAGTTACCATCTCCTCAAGGAACTGTTGATATAAGTATGGATAAAGCTATAGATACAAAACTTTAAAGAAGTAATGTTTATATTTAGTATCATATCATCGTCCTAAGATTGTGCTTAATAAATATTCAGTGCTGTTTAATAACAATAACGGTTTAATATTCTACCAAATTATAATAAATGGATTGGCACCATCTGAATTTTATTTATTTTTTCTTAATCAGTCACATAGTTTTATTATTTAGAAGTATTATAATCTTTTAAAAACACATATATAGATATGAATCTGGTGTAGTTGAACTGACAGCTACAAATAAGATAAGCCAGTAGACTCCTTCTGGGAAAATATACATCACAATTTTATATACACAACAATTTTATATTCTGACAATCTCTGAATAATAATCTTGAAAGCAATAATTGTGGAAACTGGGGGAGTCATTTCTAACCTAACTTTAATTCTGCTGCTATTCCTCATATACTCGAGTTTCTTGAACTGGTTCAATTAGAATCTTAACTAAAACAAACCATGGTTTGAAGTAAGGAAATGATCAGAATTTATGGACTAGCAATTAGGAGCATCCTAAAATATATGTGTTGGATTAGGGTTGATGCATCTATCCACTGCATGTTGCTTTATTTCTCACACTTTTCATCCACTAGCATTTTGACAACTTAACAGGCTAATACTGTTTAGAAGCTTCTAAAGTAGTATCCAGTGAACCATTAATTATTTTTTTAAAAAAATACATTACCTATTAAAGAAAATCACATCTCTATTTTCTCAAACTCTCACCTGAGTTTTGGCCTGCTAAAATTTACAGCTGAATACCCGGTGATGGGCGGAAGATTGGCCTACTGGCTCCCCGGAGCAAACCAGAGTATGTATTTCTTTATCATTATGAATGTTTTGCTTCGAGTGTCCTTTGAAATGGTTTGTGGGAACTCTTACAAGGTTTTTCTTTCATTCTTTCTCCTTTTTTCTTTTTCTTTTCTTTTCTTTCTTTTTTCTTTCTTTTTTGTGGCATGAGTTCACTTCTGAGATCTGCTTTCCTATGACCCTTCAAGTTCTTCACATGCATCATAAAACATTCTTCTTCAGAGTGCTTTAAAAGAATTTGGGTTTTGTTGTTTTAGAAACTTTGCCTGTAGTTATGTTTATATGAATGAATTAATAAATGAGTGAATGAATGAATGCATATTCAAAAAAAGCATGTGATAAAATGAATGGCTTGAATTATGGAATGTTTTGCACTGTTTTGCTGCTAAATAAATAAGACAGAAATGTTACAGAAGTGAAAAAAAATGAGAATAAGTTAAATGCTTAGTGAATGGTCCAACACTGAGCAAGAAACAAAATTAGGATGTTTGATGTCCTCTTGGGTGTTTAATGAATGTATGCATGCATGAATGAATATATTAAAAACATTTTTTATGATGTTAGAAGGATGTTGATCATAAATATATTTTGAACACAAATGGTGCCATATGTCTGGCTAAATGAATATTAGATAGATTATGTCTTGCAATGAGGATTATAGATCTGAAAATTAATGTTTCAAGACCAAGGTAGTTGTGTGCAATAGGAAAAATGAAATGAGTTATTGTAAGTTATTCATAAATCAAACCAAGTAGATATTTTAAGATCTTCATAGACTGGGAAGGCAGATGGAGAAATTTAAGACATGCAAATACTGGGGGGGGGGGGGGAAACAGTTGAATATACGTCATCAGTTGTGGGAATGAACATTTGTTAAAATGCTTTCAGCTCACTTTTTAATATCAAAGTAGGAATTGGATGAATAAGGTTGATACAGGAATAGGATATTCAGAAAGTGTATGTCATAGGACAAGAAGAGATAGGTCAAGAATGTGGGAGCTAAATGAATATAGGTTGAATATAAAAATAAGCAATCAGTATGAACAAAGTACCTTGCAGAAAATGAATGAAGATTAAATTATAAAATAAATATAAAGAGAATAGTTAATGGGTTGAGAGGAAGAAGAAGATAAAATCATGATTTGATAGTTGAGGATATCCATAAAAAGAGAGAAGTGAGAAGTTTAAAGAACAAAAAAAAACTATATAATGACATAATGAATGGACATAGTAGAAGAAAGTGGATGGTGTTCAAGATACGGAGAACTGCTGTGAATTATATAGATAATAACTAATTAAGTATGTTTTCTTCTTTTATCTCATGTATTGAACTTATTTAGCTTGCTCTTGCTTACTTGTTTAGCTTACAAAACATTCCTTACCCTGAAAGGGAATATGTGAATGTATTTAGTGGTGTTAATTGTAGAATGTTTGGCATTTTAGTTTGACATTTTTAATAACTGTGTGGTGTCACAGTTAACATATTGCATTAACTCCAAGAAAACCCTGATATATGTCCATCTTCAGCTACAGAAATTCACTGGGGGCTTTGGGCTAATCACTGCTCTACAACCTGATTATTTCATACTTTGAAAGAGTCTCTCAACTTGGTGACTTGAGAATGGGTGGATGGGTGGTCAGGAATTCTGGATCTAAAGTCTCACATCTTCAAGTAGCCAAGATTGAGAAACAGTGATCTATATAGTATTGTTATCATGATAAAATTGATATTCCTTATATACTCCTTGACCTCTAGAGAAAAGCTTAGATTGAGCTATGCTATATCACTATAGAACACCACAGCAAATCACACTACACAGTTGTACTGTATATTATTGACAGTATGGCTAGAATAAGCACATCTTAGAATTTAATGAAACCATAACAAACCTTCAGCTAGGCATACTTTTTATTAGAAGCTATTGTGAAAATAAGTCTATTGGAACCTCACCAAATTTACCCAATCTAAAATGTTATTTCTGCTCTGACTTGACGAATAAGGAGCCCTTTCAAACTGTACTCAGAAGGATCTCCATTACATTTTGAATCATGTACCAGGAGTTCCTTGGTGAAAGCAGTAATGGACAACTTTTTCTAAAACAGGCAATCTGTTCCCTCTGAAATCTGAAAGTTTAAAAGAATATTTGGTGCTTTTGCAAAGATTTCTTGTGAGCAAGACTCAGTCTAAGCTCTCTCCAAATCCCATATGTATCCCAAGGCATAGCTTACATCCGTGAACAATGAATTCAGCCAAATTCATAAGAAGATACGTAATTGCCTGAAGGTAGAACATCTGTCCATAATTGTTGTTGACTCATACTTGCTTTCACCTTTCAGAATACTAATCTTCCTGCTGGAGTTTTCCTCCATTTATACCAGTTTTCTTACTATATTTCTCTTCTAATAAAATTGTCTACAGCAATCTCCACTAAAAACTTATTTCATTAGAGATTTATTTCATTGCTTGGGCTGGCTCTAAATGGCACTGATTTGGCATGGGCCTGCCTCTTTTCTTTTCTTCTCCTTTTTTCTTTTCTCAACTTATTTAAAGCATTCGTTCAATTGGAAAATCCTTCGGGGACAGTTTTGGAATGCTCCATATGTAAAAATGGAACATTATTATGGAAATGATTCTGGAAATACCCCGGTTCAACTGAAATTTGACTTCAGAGAGAGAAAATATAAATTATATTTCTCTGTGTGCTGTCTGAATTGTATGCATGAAATATAGGTTCTTTTGAGTGCTCTGAATGTCTATATTGTTCCCTGCTCACTGACTTTCAAGGTTTTATGAGTAAGAGATGGCAATTTCTAAACATTTGGTCAATGCTAATACTATTAGTTGGCTAAAAACCTAATAGGTGTTGTTTGCAAGCAGGTGAATGTCAGAGCAGTCTGAATCTATAGTACCTTGAAAGTACTGCATCTTTTCTATTAAGTAAACCCAAAGGGTATCTAATAGATTCTAATCAGTGTGCATCTTGGACATTAGGAAATCTGATTTTAAAACATTTAAGAAATACCAGTTAGAATATATAGGATCCCATGAATACACACACAGTCAAGTAGAAGGAGGTCCAGGAATAAAAAGAGTGACTTAAAGCAAACTGTTGACAGCATAATAACAAACACTTCCAATAAGACAGCCTTCCTTAACTTGGATGGTTATTTTTTTTATTTATTTATTAAATTTCTACCTGCCCATCTCACCGGCTGATTGTGGACATTTTACAATGCAAATATTAAAGTCAATCCTCAGCATTACCCACTCAGGTATAGTATTGCCAAGACTGATATAGATAGTCCTCAGTTAATGACTGCTCTATGATATTTTGTTATTGCAACTATGCTGAAAAAGTAATTTTACAACCAGTCCTCAAACTTATGACTGGTGCAGTGTCCCCACAGTCAGGAGATCACAATGTGGGTATTTTACAACCAGAGCACATATATAATATATATAATTGTCGTAGCATCCCACAGTCACATGCTTTCTGTCCAAAACAGTGGAGTGCTAGGAATAGCTAAGATGCTGAGCTAAGATACACAGAACCTTCAATCCTTCAAACTGCCAGGTAGATGACCCAAGAACGAGGAAGACACATACTACTCTCAGGAGTGAGAAGGAGATTTATTTATACTGTATGTGTAAAGTGTGTCCAGAAAAGTTTTTACTAAAACCATAATGTTGATACGCTTTCAAAATTCATGAATTAAAAGCAGAGACTTGTAACTTTCCTGGGTACAATAGCTGGCTGGATATTAACAGGGGATTTGCCAACAGTATTTCACAAATATGAAATGTCACAGAAAGGATGGCCTCTGCATATACACGTTTGACAGGATGAAATTCCAATAATGGAAGAAATCTTGTTTCCACTTAAAGCTCAAGAACTCTACTGACATATGCTGATCATTTTACCATTATAATCACTGCATTGGCTCAGAAGAATTGCTTCATTCATTCATCTGTCCCTGTCTGTAATTTTGCCGATTTTTAATCATGCAACCTAAGAGGAAGAAGCAAAAATTCACAGGATCTCAATCTTCCACTCTGTTCATCTCCTATTTCTGCAAATCATATACTAAGTGTGAACAGCTCCTTTCTCCCACAGCCTTTTGATTTGCTGGCATGGGTTTGCTTTTTTTCCATACCGCTGCTTTGTTGTATTTCATATTTCATTTCACAAGTCAGATCTTACCTGGCTGCTACTGTAACCTATTTATTAATAGTTCTTGGTATCTCACAGACACCTTTCGCCAGTAATATTACCTCACTTTCTCCTTCACTTTAACATTCCAGTGGATTCTGTACATAATTACTGATTTACTAATCAGTAGCATAATGCTGACTAGCTACATTGTAAAGGCTTTTTTGGACTTTTCTATGCCAAAACCTAACAGGGACAGCGTGGCTCAGTGGCTAAGACCTGAGCTTGTTGATCAGAAAGGTCGACAGTTTGGCGGTTCAAATTCCTAGCACCACATAACGGAGTGAGCTCCTGTTATTTGTCCCAGCTTCTGCCAATCTAGCAGTTCGAAAGCATGTAGAAATGCAAGTAGAAAAATAGGGACACCTTTGGTGGGAAGGTAACAGCGCCTTCAGCATTTAGTCATGCCAGCCATATGACCACGGAGATGTCTTCAGACAGCGCTGGCTCTTTGGCTTTGAAACGGAGATGAGCACTGCCCCCTGGAGTCGGCAATGACTAGCACATATGTGCGAGGAGAACCTTTACCCCAACACCTGGTATTCTGAGGTGCATTGGAATCAGCTAGGTTGGAATAAGTGCTGGATGAAATTTCTGAACAAGAAAAATAGACATTCAAAATTGAACACACAGGTACATAAGGAAAACAACAACCCTCATATCCAGTCTAATCCTTTATAGACTTTTTGGAAGTAAGTCCCACAATTTGTTCACAGTATAAGTTGGATGGAACTGCAGCTAGTGTTTGTTTCAGGTTTTCTGCATTAGTTAAAACTTTATGTTCGTTTTGTTCTGTTAACAAGTTTTTTTTTTTTACTGTCAGTATTGTTCAAGAACAAAACAAGCTCACTGATGCAGATATGCATGGGTGTTCTTTGATTATGTGCTACTGTCTGCCTCGATTTTTACATCTGAAGATCCCAACAGTTGATGTTGGTGATCTCCCTCATCTTCCTTTGGCTTTCTTAAGAAAAGGGGAAAGATGGGAAAGAATAGGTACGGCCAAATAATACAAGTTTTGCAATATTTAAAAAGTCCAATATAGACAAGTAAATTATCTTTAACTCAATATTCTATTTCTGTGCATTTTTATTTTGGGGAGCAGTTTATGCCACCAGGTTTTATGAGACAATGAAATTCTGAATTTTGTAAAGGGATAAGCAGTACATGTGTCAGCAAACAAATGGTTGAATGTGTTTGTAGGTCTCTCTCTCACACACACACACATTTAGTATATGAAGAACAATGGGAATGAAAAAATATGACTATTTTCAATAGGCTCTTGTTACTGTACATTTATCTAGTATTGTTCAGTTTGTCACCAGACTGGAACTAGTTCAGATCTAAGAGAGACCTATGAAGAAAAAAGAACTAATGATGAGCATTTTCCTGTGGATGCAGATACATATACATTGTATTTATCCCAACATTCTACAGACAAATTAGGTGAAATTACATTCTGATGCATGCTTAAGCATTTCTAAGTTGTATTGGTAGTCTGACTTATGTGGTTATTTATTACCATAATGATCTTTCCTATAAACATGTACCTCTACACTTATAAATATTTAAGTCTTTTAAGTATTGTACAGTGGTGGATATTTAGGACACGTTTTTAATATTTTCCCCACATTGTGGCGTACATTGTATTATAGTGTCCATGTTTATCAGCCAATTACAGAAAGGTTGTGGATGTGAAATGCTGACTGTAACATAGAGTATGCCATACGACTTGTGGCATTGAAACATTTCACTGCAATATATACCATCTATATCAGTAGGCCACTTGGTCATATTTGCTGGAGGCAGTTTCTTTGAGGACCATATAACACATAAAACGAATGTCTGAACTGGATGGGTGGATTCGATATTAACCAGGCAAGCTTGATATTACCTAGTGTTTCACAGTAAAGGATTGTAAAATCATTTATTTATTGTGTTACTGTGGCTCAATCAGTGTCCACATCTCTGAGGGCATGAGTCACTTGCCCCAAGACATCCTAGAATTTAACATCATGAAATAATCTTTCTGGGGAAATACAACTCTTTTGAATAAATATTGAAGCTGCTGTTACTTCATTATCTAGATGTCCACTGACAAACAGAAACTTTATCTTGTAAGGATTTAAATTGACCATGTTTAATCCCATCTAGATCCTTATAGCCCCCAGCACTGGTGGGATTCAAATAATTTAACAACTGGTTCTCTGCCCTAATGACCAGCTGGGTAGGCATGGCTTGGTGGTCATGTGACTGGGTGGGCATGGCCAACTCAATGCCACTCAGGTCGATGGGCGCGTCACCTTAGCTGTTACAATATAATAAGGATTAATAAGAGAGGCAGTTTCTGTAAGCAGGGCAGTAAAGATTAGGCTGGAAACTACACCAGAATATTTCCTTCCTGCCTTCTAGCTTAGCCCTGTAAAGTGGAGAAAAACAAAAGGAGATTTCTTCCAACAACCAGTTCTCCGAACTGCTTACAAAGTTAACAACCGGTTCTCTTATTAATCCTTATTATATTTTAACAGCTAAGGTGACGCGCCCATCGACCTGAGTGGCA